ATAGAAAGTGAAATTTGACTCTCTAAATATAGAAAGTTAAACTCACTCTTTAATTTATATTTAAAAAATAAAAAATGTGTTAAACTCTTACTTTTATAGGTAAATTTTTTATAATAAAAAATTTAAATCATATAAAGAGCCTTTTAAGATGTTATTAAATCTTTGTTAGGAGTCTTTTTCATATTTTGTTGGATATTGTTATGTTTTGGTTCAATTTTCAAATAATCGTAGCTTATATCGAAACCACAAATCAACCCCTCTTCTTCGTTATATATGCAAGAGTAAACGACATATTCCCACCCAAGGTTTGACGAAATCCCAGGTGAATACCACAGGTTTCATTTATTCCATATTCACACCCTTAAAGTAACAGTGTTATGAACTTTTAGGGTTTAGGACGTGCAATTACCATAATGCCCCTAACCCTAAATTAATAAATTATGTTTTAACCCCTAATTTATTAGAATTATAAACTTACCATTTTATTTTTAAATTATATCAAAAACACCCCCGATCATTACACACCCTCATCGGAAACAGCCCGATCTGGGCTGTTTCCGACGACGTCGAACGTCCTGGTCACTCCATCACCTTCCCCGTATTCCATCGTCCAAAACCCCTCTCATTCCCGACTCATTTGCCCCTCCAATCGTCGGCACCGTTAGACTTAGGGTTTTGACGTTCTTCACCGGATTCCGGTCGATTCCGGCGGTGAAAATCCAATTGGACACCACCAATGAAACCANGAGTTGGACACGTAAAATTTAATGGCAATCTCCATCAAACAACAACGTCCGGAAAACGGACGGTAATAAATTTATGCCCAAAGTGTTTATTATATAAGGATTATTATTAAAGTTTCAATAATAAACAACTAACCTACATCACACTCATTCCTTGTTTATCAAAAACATCTTTAATTATGGTATTTATATTAAAGGACACATTTCATGTAAATAAAAAATATTTTTATTAATTTTTAAATATAAAGAACAAAATTTTTATTTAAATCCAATTGACTCTTTAAATTTAATAAAATTGTTTTTTATTTTCAAGAAAGAAACTTAAATAGGAGAGACAAATAATGAATAAAATGCATAAAAACTTGTAGTTTATTAATTAAAATTATAATAGAGTGAAATTTTTATGAAAAGTCAAACTCACTCTTTAATTTATATTTAAAGAATAAAGAGTTTATTGGACTCTTGTTTTTATAGATAGATTTTTTATAATAAAGAGTTTGAATCATATAAAAAATTATTTAGAGATTTAAATCTTTTTTGGGAGGCTTTTCCATATTTTGTTGGATATTGCTATGTTTTGGATCAATTTTCAAATAATCATAGCGTATATCGAAACCACAAATCAACCCCTCTTCTTCGTTATATATGCCCCTCTTCTTAGTTATATATGCAATTCTATTACAAGAAAATATGAACAAAGTAGGGGTGAGCGGTTCCGGGTACCCTGCACTTTTCCAGGGAACCGAAACCGGAACCGGAACCGCACAGTACAGGTTCCCAAAAAAAGGAACCGGAACCGGAACCGCACAGTACAGGTTCTTCAATTCAAGGAACCGGAACCTAAAATGCAGGTTCCGGTTCCTTTCCAGGGTACCCTATAAAAAATCAATTACCCCCAATTCGTTTCAAAATAACAAAAACACCTTATAAGTTTACAAATACACCCCTAACAAATTTTTTTTATTCATTCATTTGTGTCCAATGTAACCATAACCTGTAATCTAAGCAACTTGAATTCAATCAATTCATCACAATTCACATAATATTCGTCAATCAAAACCAAACACAAACAATTATTCATCACAATTCACATAAAATAACTTCACCAATCATTTAATAAACAACAATTCTTAATACTAATTACTAACATTGCCATTTGCCAGGGTCTATTTGATAAGTTAATAAATTATTAATGTTTATAAATTTATTAATTTAATGTTATAATTGGTTAATTGGGTATTTATAATCCCAATATAATTTAGTAAATTTAATATTAGAAACAGTAATGTTATAATTAAATAAGTGATCATACTACAATGTAATTGTAATGTTATAATTAATTAAGTGATCATACTACAATGTAAATTGTAATGTTATAATTAATTAAGTACTAATATTATTTAATTATAATGTAATATTATAATAATTAAATTGTTATCATTTAATTAAGTATTATAATTTTATTTATAATAGAATGTTATAATTAATTAAATAATCATACAATAAATTTATAATATAATGTTAATTAATAAAATTATAATAATTCGTTAAATATTGTGCAAATTAGTAAATTACTAATGTTTATAATTAATGTCATAATCATTAAGTAATCATTAATTATGTAATGTTATATTAATTATATGTCATACTATAATAGTATAATGTATGTTATATATTAAGTAATCATACTACAAATCTATAATTTAATATTAAAATTAATTAAATTTCAAATCATTTATATATAACTAATGTTTATAATGGAATGTTATAATTGTTAAGTTCTATTACAAATATATAAAGTAATGTTATAATTAATTAAATTTTTAATCGTTTAATTAAGTATGTAATAGTATATAGATACTAATGTTTAAATGTATATTATAAATTCATAACTAATTAGTAATTATGTAATCTTTTAACTAATATGTTATAATTATAATTGATCTAAATAATTTAATAATAATATTATAATTTAATTAGTAATTATTTAACTATAATGTAATGCTTAATTAATGTTATAGGTAATGTTATAATTATTAAATTTCTTATCATTTAATTAGTATTGCTAATGTTTATGTAGATTAGTAATTACTAATGTTAAATGTAATATCATAACTCATATCAATTAAGAAGTAATTATTTATTATATAATGTTATATTAATTATATGATCATACTATAATTAATAATTGTAATGTTATAGAATTAATTATCATACTACAAATCTATAATTTAATATTATAATTATTAAATTTCAAATCATTAATTAATATACTAATGTTTATATGGATGTTAATATTGTTAAGTAATCATATTACAAATATATAAAGTAATGTTATAATTAATTAAATTTTTATCTTTAATAGTAATGTAAAGTATAGTAAATTACTAATGTTTATAATGTAATGTTATAATTCATAACTAATTAAGTAATTATGTAATCATTTAACTATTATTGTTATAATTAAGTAATAAAAATAAATGTAATATTTATATTATATTTAATTGAGTATTATTTAACTATAATTTGCTTAATTAATGTTATAATGATTTTATAAGTATGTTATAATTAATTAAATTTTTTATCATTCATAAGTATTGTGCAATGTTTTATAGTAAATTAGTAATTACTATTTGTTAAATTATATCATACTCATAATCAATTAATATTATTTAATTATGTAATGTTATATTACTTATGATCATACTATAATAGTATAATGTAATGTTATAATGATTAAATAATTATACTATAAATCTATAATTTAATTATAATTAATTAAATTTCAAATCATTTAATTAATATACTAATGTTTATAATAGAATGTTTATTGATTAAGTATTATATATATAATAAGGTTGTTATAATTAATTAAATTTTTAATCGTTTAATAAGTAATGTAATAAATGTAAATTAGTAAATTACTAATGTTTATATGTATTTATAATTCATACTAATTATGTAATTATGTAACATTTAACTATGTAATGCTATATTAAGTAAGTGATCATATAATAGTGTAATATAATAATATATAATTTAATTGAGTAATTAATTTAACTATAATGTAATGTTTAATTATGTTTATAATAATGTTTAAAGGTAATGTTATAATTAATTAAATTTCTTATCATTCAATTAAGTATTGTGCTAATATTTATGTCACATAGTAATTACTAATGTTTAAAACATAATATCATACTCATAATCAATTAAGTATTATTTTTATTATGTTGTTATAATTAATTAATATCATACTATAATGTAGGTTTAGTGAATTAACTATTAAATAATCATACTATATTTTTAATGTAATATTATAATTAATTAAATGATTTTTAATCATTTAATTAAGTTTGTACTAATGTTATAATAAGTCAATTAATTAAGTAGTAATCAATTAATGTAATGCTATAATTAATTATACTATAAATCAATTAAGTAATGTTATAATTATAATTAATTAAGTAATCATTTAACTATAATGTAATGTTTATTGATTAAGTATGATATTTAACTAGTAATTAAATTTATTAATGTTTATCAATTTATCTATATAATTATATTACTAATTTATTATAGATTACTTAGACCTTGATAATTGAAGTAAATAACTAAATTATTATTACTCAATCAAATATACTATTTTATTCAAATAATTCTTTTAATAACATTAAAAATGTAAAACACTTTTAATTGGTCTAATTCCATTATTCACTTAATTGATCAAAACTTATATTAATATATTATAATATATAAAGCTTCTATATGGTGTAATTTATATGTAATAAGTATAATTGTATTCGTATATTTATTTAATTAAGTTATTCTAAAAATTTAATTTTTTCTATTTTAATTTTTTTTTATTGTAAAATAATAGAAACTCCCCCATTATTTACATTTCACAATATTTCATTATAGTCCAGGTTCCAAAATAGGTTCTAAACAGTTCCAAAAACAGGTTCCAAATAGGTTCCAACAGGTTCCAAACAGGTTCCAAACAGGTTCCAAACAGTTTCCAAAACAGGTTCCAAACAGGGTACCCCCTACAGGTTCCAAGGTACCCTTTTTACAGTTCCGGTTCCGGTTCCGGTTCCTTCGGGGGTAAGAACCCGACCGGAACCGCACAGTAGCGGTTCCAAAAAATTGGAACCGAACCTACCCGCACAGTGCAGGTTCTGGGTAGGTCCGTTCCGGTTCCGGTTCTACCCTCGGTTCCGGTTCTACCCGCTACCCGTGCTCACCCCCTAGACAAAGTGTTACCCTGGAATAAAAATTGAAGAATCAAAAGTTTTGATTTTCAAACGATCTTGTGATTCACACTCATCGTCATTGTCACCTCCAAGTTTTGTCCTTACCACCTAACTCCTGCTATTCTCCTTTAAATAAATCCGATACGCCCAAGATTAAACACAACCCAGTACACATCTCGACTTACTGTCCCAATTCTCTCTCTTTAGTCTTATAGAAACGGGATAGTAGCATGAATATGCCTCCAGGATCAATGTCAGGGTCAGATGGAGATGGTAGCATGAACTCAACGTCATCAATGGACATGACGATGCAAATGAACTTCTACTGGGGCAAAGACGTGGTCGTTTTATTCTCAGGATGGCCTGGAAACAATCTTGGTATGTACATATTAGCTCTATGCGTTGTTTTCATTTTGGGTTTTGGTGTGGAGGTGTTGTCAGTCTCTCCTATACTTAAAGGAGGAGAGAAGCCGATGACTAGCTTGTTTTTACAAGCTAGTGTTTATGCCATTCGAACGGGTTTGGCTTACTTGGTCATGCTCTCGGTCATGTCCTACAATCTTGGCGTGTTCATTGTTGCTGTTGCCGGTCACACCGCTGGGTTCTTACTGGTCAAGGCTCGAGCTCATGCTGCAGCTAACCGAGCGGTTCCCATGTCATCTACACCCAACAATTCTAAAGTTTAATTTTACAATTTGACATCAGCAACTTATGATCTTTTGTATTTCTTTTTACTTTTACAAATATATTCCGGCTTCCGCAGTATTTTCCTTGAACCTCTTTATAGCAAAAGAATTATCGTTAGTATTTTTTTTTTTTTTCCTTGATTCCTTGGTAACATATCAACATGTTTAACAGTTATTCTTTGCCGAATCTCCATATAATGGGGCTAAAAATATCTAAAACTCGGACCGTAGAAACTTAGATGTTCATCAGGCATCAACCTCATATCTAGTATTTCATTTCACAATATGGTACATCGTTGAAGTCCAAGAGCCGAAAATAGTCTTCCACTGGTTGGCCAGAATCGGTAGAACCCACCCATTCGAGGTGCTTCAGCAGCAGGTTCAGGAAATTCCCGTGTCTCGTCTCCATCCGAATCCTCCTTACTGACATCTTTCTCGTTTTCTCCAGCAGCTTCATCTTCATCGTCATTCTCAGTTCCAGCATCGGCAATTTCCCCTGGGTTCTTGTCAAACAGTCCTTTAAATTGTTTCTTAGCCTTGCTCTCGAGTTCCTGCTTATGAAATGGTTGACATACAGAATGGTATAAAAAATGGATTCTCCCCATGCCTAGCTGAAAAACAAAAAACTTGTAGTAGTCTGACACACCTGCATTGTCTTCTTTAGTTTTGAAAGAGCTGCAGTCGCATCCGGTTCAGATGACTTGTCAACTTTCATCATCTAACAGCAATCAGTAAGAATTTTAGAATCAGATGTTGGAAATCAAGTGCTCGAAAAGCATAAGACCATAAGCATTACCATTTCAAAATCACTCCTAGCTTCCTCAAAATCTCCAACAGCCATGTAGGCCATTCCACGGCGATATAGAGCCTTCACATGAGCAGGGTTCGCATCTAAAACCTGCAATAATTCCAGCAGGAGTACACACTAAGATCCAAATGAAAGCCTCACATAGTGAGACCAATAACTCACACCATTACACAAGTTTACAGATATATATATATAGTGTTTGGAAGAGAAAGCTTTCTATGCATAAGACCTGATTAGCTGCAATTAATCTCAGTCAATTTCAAAATGAAACTTATGGATATAATTACTGCTATATTGGGATTGAGGTGGGAGGAAAGAAGAGTGAAACAACTTGAAAGTCCAAAACACACCTTATTGCATGCCTCGATGGACTTTCTGCATTCTCCCATTTTAAGGAAGCACGCAGCTACATTCAGGTGTAATAAATTCTTCATACATCCAAAACGGGACAGAAATCAATTCAGATTCGAAAAAATAAAATCATAAGAGTTTAGACAGATAAACTGAGTATTCACTCTATAACCAAGATAAAAAGAAAATGTAGATCAGGTTGTGTCAGTCACCGCAGAAGAAAAACAAAAAGAACTTACTCTTGTGTTTACAAACACCTTCCCTTCCTCATCGTCTTGTGGATTAACATGATTAAACTCCCGAAGCACCTGTGTAGCAGTCACCAGATGGTAATTGGGTGAAAACTTAAAAGGCACAAGACATGCATTTCCCTTATATTAGAACAAAAATTATATTTTACCGATTCCGCTGACATATAGTAAAGAATCATAAGGGAAGCTAATTCACAAATTATATTTTACTAGAAAACATAGACTATTATACATCACACAAGCCAAATAACCAATACACTTCTAGTAGAATAATGCCAGCCAATTGAATAATGGGATTGCTGGCTTAACAAAAACAACTGAAACTAAAATGTGATAATGGCTTTCTACCACGAGCAGTCAATGGCTTCAACCAATCGAATTTGTTGAGATGACTGCAACTGCAAACTCATTTAATGATGTGGGCCAAAACTTTGGGCAAAGCAGTCAATGCTCAACAAACCACACAAAACAATAAGGTGCAAATACGAATAAGTAAATTACCTTCTCATACTTTGCCTTTGCAAGTTCAAACTTCCCTTCCTTAAAGAGCCTGTTACCCTGAAGATAAAAGGATAATATTAAGGTTTCTAGTTCACATTATAAAAATTCAAGTGCCCCCATGCCTTGGCATGTATAACTGAATCCTATCGATGCAAAATAAAGACAAATGAACGAATTTACATTGTGGAAAATCTTTGCCATAGTCAGAACTGACATATACACACACATTATATTTCAAGCAAGAATAGAACATTGTAAAACATCAAATAGTTTCTAGGAGGCTAAATAAGCAGAACAGTAAATGATTGTACAATGCATTACCGAGACTCTAATCTTCTCTGCTTCATCCATTATATTCTCAAAGGTCAAACCAGTCCAGTCCTGACATCAGTAAATAAACCACATCAAAACATGGTTTAGTTCAACAAAATCAACACTAGCAGAACCCCTGAATAAATTTAAAAGCAGGGAAATCTTACAATTGAAATGATGACCAGTAGAGATAAAAAATCAATCAAAGTCAGAATGTAAACATCTAATGCTTTACCAACAAAGTAAATGAGCATCCTCTAAGTCATCATAGTTCAATCAAGGCAATACTCAGAATTTTTGCAGTCATTCTTATACTAACCTGCCCGCAAAACAATTGACACAAAAACAATTTTCAACACATCTTTATCATCTAAATAGGAATTGCCACTCACAAAACTAATATAATGCCAAAAAAAGTGGTTTCACCATCTATATAAATTAAACATATAAAACCATGCTCAAGACTTAGTGCATAAAAACATATTTAGATTAGGTTTAATTCACCAGCCATAGGCCCATAGCCCTTGCAATCCTAAACTTGCAGAAGAAATCTACCAGACCATCAGCTCCCATCCACCCAAGTTATTTACAAATTAAATTTGATTCACAGACTAAAAATTCATTACAGACACATCTATCATTGATATCCCACAACCATAATAAGGCCCATCAATAGGAGCCTCTAAAACCAGAACATTGCTGAAAATTTTCTGAAAAGATAGCAGTTTATTACCTTTGGCATCTCAAATCCAAGAAGTTCAATCTCCCACTGAATATGAGCACCTACAGGAACATTCTCTGGCCTAATCAAATGGGCAGAAACAAAAAACAAGAAGAAGCTTTGAGGAACGAGAACAAAGGGGAAGTAGTAATCATTAAAATCTAGCAATTACTAGTACCAATAGATAAAGGCAAAACTATATTTCAAATTATAACCTCGGAAATTTGTCATAAGCATAATCAGGAGGGCATGTGACCAGAGCTAACTCTCCAGGCAGCATCAAGCGAACACACATTTCAAATCCCTCAGGCACCTATGACACAAAACAGCATTATGATAAATTAGTAAATAAAATCACTACCACTAACAAACTTCTCTGCATGGTGCAGTAAAATTAGTACTGACACATACACTTAATCACTGTCCCTAAAAAATATCACAAAGTTCCAAAAAATAAGATCATTGTAGACTTCCCCTTTAAGAAGGTCAACTTACACGCCCCTCCCCAGAACTGAACTCCAAAGGCTGACCATCATTATCAACTCGGGTGTCATAGAAGACCCTCTTTTCTTCATTAAGAAGCATGCCCTTGTAATGGACGCGAAGTAGACTGTCATGAAGTGGGCAATCCATTGGAAATTCACCTAATATTTAAAGAAATTTTAAGAAAATCATGATGCGTTGAGGTAGCAATAAAGAAATACATATATTAGATTATCATACCCAATGTATATGAATGCATAATAGTCATTGAAAAAAAGAACATCATCACAATAGCATACTCATACAACAGTACAGAGCACAGATATAGCAAGAAAAAAGAATAAATAAACTGTATGACTTGCTCTACACTAAAAACTTAAAACATCACAGAATTCAAGCATTAAAATGATTATGAGCAAAGAGTAAGTCACCTAGACATACAACCTAATTGCATACATCCAAAGCATCAAAAAGTTAAAACTGGGCAGGTAAGTAGAACATATCCACTTTCTCCACTGAAAAGTAGAAAAAATAATGGAACACACCTTTTCCATCACGAAGTCGGCGTTTTATTAGACGGCCATCCCCAAGCATGTCTCGTACCTACCAATTCAAAACTTGAGAGTTACATCACAGTCTCACGAATATGGCAATTAAAACAATACACAGTTATGAAAAAGTGCGAGTAATTTGCTGACAAATGCATAGTGTGAATAAACTGATATTAGTCTTGAGTACTCATGGAACATAAAACTTTCTTGATTTTCGGTTCTCTCTTTCACAAAGGTGCGAGAGCTGCTGGTATTGTGGACAATTTACCTATTTCTCCAACAAATATAGCAAAAGTGTAGTTTGTGTTCATTCAGCATCACAATCACCTAATTAAATTGTATGAATCTTTAAATCTATTAAGGTTGGTTTGGGAGCTTGGCCATATAAGCCATAACAACAAGCACCTAGTCTACAACCATCAACCATACCAACCAGCTTTACAAAATAGTGCAACAATAATGTCTAGCGGTGAACTTAACAATACTGGATTAGAGTTAACAATATTTGATGAATAGGATGGAGAATTAAACAAGGAAAAACAGAAAAGGGAAAGACAGTTGAAAAAATGCATTATGACTTTAACCAGACAGGTAAGCATAATATATGGCATATAAATTAGGATTTTCCAATTCCAAGTAAATTTAAAGTCCACTCTTAAAAAGGTCATGATTTAAATCGACACAGTTACGCAAGTATTATAATTTGTACCAGTATAGAAGTTGGCAGAGAAATAGAAATTAGAAAACCATTACTTTGGACACGTCCGCATACCTGAATGAAATGGACAAGCTCCACTTCAAAATGAATTTCCTCATAACCATCTACCACAGGCAGGAGGGGAGATTGAGTTAAGTACTGACTTGTAACATATATTACTGCCTTCTCTTCACGCGTCATTGTTCCTATTCCCATCTCAAGACCTTTAGGTACCTAAATTCATATAACTCACCATATTAAGCAGCAATGTGTCATGCTTACATTAAACCCAGCTGAAAATATATTTCCATCAGTTGAGAATTTTAACACTAAATAGGCTTTCAAGCTCAACAGTATGATAGGAAAAAAAAATGGGTTCCAAAAGTTATTTACTTAAAATGGTAACTTGCAGTGAAGAAACATAATTATAGATGAGAAATGCTAACCAACCTCTGATCTTCCAAAAGTAAAGAAATATGGTTCTCCTTCTGTGTGAGAGAAAATCAATTTCCCATCGCCTGTCTTTGCAGAAATCCTGAAAAGGAAATAGTACTTATCTTAAGGAAACTTCACACACTCAACATACAAATTCAAAAGAAGAGGTACAGAGGATCAAGAATAAGTTTCTACCAAGCTTTTACTTCATAAGGTTGCCTTGGTGACTCCCATCCCTGCCCTTCATTTATCACCTATACAAATAAATTAAATTAATTGTGAACTGCTTTTAAATCTAAAACAGACAGAAAATTGCTGCACAATTCTGTGAGGCAGCTGCCGTTATCCAGAATAGCAGAATTATAACTATGTGAGATCCTTTCTGATGAACTAATCAGAAATTTTATCATTTCAAAGCACTTAAAACTCCATGAATTGTACTCAAAATGTAATCTATTACACCAGCTACTCACATATTGCCCTCTACATTAATAAATTATGCAACTTAAATATTGTACCTTCTTTAAGACTCCCAAATCATCAGCAACGACCTGAAATCAGTACAAGCAATATTCAGCATTAGAAGAAAAGAGAAGTGAAAAGTGAAAGTCATCATAGTTCAATCAAGGCAATACTCAGAATTTTTGCAGTCATTCTTATACTAACCTGCCCGCAAAACACTGACACAAAAAAACTTTCAACACATTTTTATCATCTAAATAGGAATTGCCACTCACAAAACTATATATGCCAAAAAAGTGGTTTCACCATCTATATAAATTAAACATATAAAACCATGCTCAAGACTTAGTGCATAAAAACTATTAGATTAGGTTTATACACCAGCCATAGGCCCATAGCCCTTGCAATCCTAAACTTGCAGAAGAAATCTACCAGACCATCCTCCCATCCACGCAAGTATTTACAAATTAAATTGATTCACAGATTAAAAATATTACAGACACATCTATCATTGATATCACAACCCTAATAAGGCCATCAATAGGAGCCTCTAAAACCAGAACATGCTGAAAATTTCTGAAAAGATAGCAGTTATTACCTTTGGCATCTCAAATCCAAGAAGTCTCATCCCACTGAATATGAGCACCTCAGGAACATTCTCTGGCCTAATCAATGGGCAGAAACAAAAACAAGAAGAAGCTTTGGGAACGAGAACAAAGGGGAAGTAGTACATTAAATATAGCAATATATAGTACCAATAGATAAAGGCAAAACTATATTTCAAATTATAACCTCGGAAATTTGTCATAAGCATAATCAGGAGGGCATGTGACCAGAGCTAATCTCCCAGGCAGCAAAGTTTAATTTTACAATTTGACATCAGCAACTTATGATCTTTTGTATTTCTTTTTACTTTCACAAATATATTCCGGCTTCCGCAGTATTTTCCTTGAACCTCTTTATAGCAAAAGAATTATCGTTAGTATTTTTTTTTTTTTTTTTTCCTTGATTCCTTGGTAACATATCAACATGTTTAACAGTTATTCTTTGCCGAATCCCCATATAATGGGGCTAAAAATATCTAAAACTCGGACCGTAGAAACTTAGATGTTCATCAGTCATCAACCTCATATCTAGTATTTCATTTCACAATATGGTACATCGTTGAAGTCCAAGAGCCGAAAATAGTCTCCCACTGGTTGGCCAGAATCGGTAGAACCCACCCATTCGAGGTGCTTCAGCAGCAGGTTCAGGAAATTCCCGTGTCTCGTCTCCATCCGAATCCTCCTTACTGACATCTTTCTCGTTTTCTCCAGCAGCTTCATCTTCATCGTCATTCTCAGTTCCAGCATCGGCAATTTCCCCTGGGTTCTTGTCAAACAGTCCTTTAAATTGTTTCTTAGCCTTGCTCTCGAGTTCCTGCTTATGAAATGGTTGACATACAGAATGGTATAAAAAATGGATTCTCCCCATGCCTAGCTGAAAAACAAAAAACTTGTAGTAGTCTGACACACCTGCATTGTCTTCTTTAGTTTTGAAAGAGCTGCAGTCGCATCCGGTTCAGATGACTTGTCAACTTTCATCATCTAACAGCAATCAGTAAGAATTTTAGAATCAGATGTTGGAAATCAAGTGCTCGAAAAGCATAAGACCATAAGCATTACCATTTCAAAATCACTCCTAGCTTCCTCAAAATCTCCAACAGCCATGTAGGCCATTCCACGGCGATATAGAGCCTTCACATGAGCAGGGTTCGCATCTAAAACCTGCAATAATTCCAGCAGGAGTACACACTAAGATCCAAATGAAAGCCTCACATAGTGAGACCAATAACTCACACCATTACACAAGTTTACAGATATATATATATAGTGTTTGGAAGAGAAAGCTTTCTATGCATAAGACCTGATTAGCTGCAATTAATCTCAGTCAATTTCAAAATGAAACTTATGGATATAATTACTGCTATATTGGGATTGAGGTGGGAGGAAAGAAGAGTGAAACAACTTGAAAGTCCAAAACACACCTTATTGCATGCCTCGATGGACTTTCTGCATTCTCCCATTTTAAGGAAGCACGCAGCTACATTCAGGTGTAATAAATTCTTCATACATCCAAAACGGGACAGAAATCAATTCAGATTCGAAAAAATAAAATCATAAGAGTTTAGACAGATCGACTGAGTATTCACTCTATAACCAAGATAAAAAGAAAATGTAGATCAGGTTGTGTCAGTCACCGCAGAAGAAAAACAAAAAGAACTTACTCTTGTGTTTACAAACACCTTCCCTTCCTCATCGTCTTGTGGATTAACATGATTAAACTCCCGAAGCACCTGTGTAGCAGTCACCAGATGGTAATTGGGTGAAAACTTAAAAGGCACAAGACATGCATTTCCCTTATATTAGAACAGAAATTATATTTTACCGATTCCGCTGACATATAGTAAGAAATCATAAGGGAAGCTAATTCACAAATTATATTTTACTAGAAAACATAGACTATTATACATCACACAAGCCAAATAGCCGATACACTTCTAGTAGAATAATGCCAGCCAATTGAATAATGGGATTGCTAGCTTAACAAAAACAACTGAAACTAAAATGTGATAATGACTTTCTACCACGAGCAGTCAATGGCTTCAACCAATCGAATTTGTTGAGATGACTGCAACTGCAAACTCATTTAATGATGTGGGCCAAAACTTTGGGCAAAGCAGTCAATGCTCAACAAACCACACAAAACAATAAGGTGCAAATACGAATAAGTAAATTACCTTCTCATACTTTGCCTTTGCAAGTTCAAACTTTCCTTCCTTAAAGAGCCTGTTACCCTGAAGATAAAAGGATAACATTAAGGTTTCTAGTTCACATTATAAAAATTCAAGTGCCCCCATGCCTCGGCATATATAACTGAATCCTATCTACGCAAATTAAAGACAAATGAACCAATTTACATCGTGGAAAGTCTTTGCCATAGTCAGAACTGACATATACACACACATTATATTTCAAGCAAGAATAGAACATTGTAAAACATCAAATAGTTGCTAGGAGGCTAAATAAGCAGAACAGTAAATGATTGTACAATGCATTACCGTGACTCTAATCTTCTCTGCTTCATCCATTATATTCTCAAAGGTCAAACCAGTCCAGTCCTGACATCAGTAAATAAACCACATCAAAACATGGTTTAGTTCAATAAAATCAACACTAGCAGAACCCCTGAATAAATTTAAAAGCAGGGAAATCTTACAATTGAAATGATGGCCAGCAGAGATAAAAAATCAATCAAAGTCAGAATGTAAACATCTAATGCTTTACCAACAAAGTAAATGAGCATCCTCTAAGTCATCATAGTTCAATCAAGGCAATACTCAGAATTTTTGCAGTCATTCTTATACTAACCTGCCCGCAAAACAATTGACACAAAAACAATTTTCAACACATCTTTATCATCTAAATAGGAATTGCCACTCACAAAACTAATATAATGCCAAAAAAAGTGGTTTCACCATCTATATAAATTAAACATATAAAACCATGCTCAAGACTTAGTGCATAAAAACATATTTAGATTAGGTTTAATTCACCAGCCATAGGCCCATAGCCCTTGCAATCCTAAACTTGCAGAAGAAATCTACCAGACCATCAGCTCCCATCCACCCAAGTTATTTACAAATTAAATTTGATTCACAGACTAAAAATTCATTACAGACACATCTATCATTGATATCCCACAACCATAATAAGGCCCATCAATAGGAGCCTCTAAAACCAGAACATTGCTGAAAATTTTCTGAAAAGATAGCAGTTTATTACCTTTGGCATCTCAAATCCAAGAAGTTCAATCTCCCACTGAATATGAGCACCTACAGGAACATTCTCTGGCCTAATCAAATGGGCAGAAACAAAAAACAAGAAGAAGCTTTGAGGAACGAGAACAAAGGGGAAGTAGTAATCATTAAAATCTAGCAATTACTAGTACCAATAGATAAAGGCAAAACTATATTTCAAATTATAACCTCGGAAATTTGTCATAAGCATAATCAGGAGGGCATGTGACCAGAGCTAACTCTCCAGGCAGCATCAAGCGAACACACATTTCAAATCCCTCAGGCACCTATGACACAAAACAGCATTATGATAAATTAGTAAATAAAATCACTACCACTAACAAACTTCTCTGCATGGTGCAGTAAAATTAGTACTGACACATACACTTAATCACTGTCCCTAAAAAATATCACAAAGTTCCAAAAAATAAGATCATTGTAGACTTCCCCTTTAAGAAGGTCAACTTACACGCCCCTCCCCAGAACTGAACTCCAAAGGCTGACCATCATTATCAACTCGGGTGTCATAGAAGACCCTCTTTTCTTCATTAAGAAGCATGCCCTTGTAATGGACGCGAAGTAGACTGTCATGAAGTGGGCAATCCATTGGAAATTCACCTAATATTTAAAGAAATTTTAAGAAAATCATGATGCGTTGAGGTAGCAATAAAGAAATACATATATTAGATTATCATACCCAATGTATATGAATGCATAATAGTCATTGAAAAAAAGAACATCATCACAATAGCATACTCATACAACGGTACAGAGCACAGATATAGCAAGAAAAAAGAATAAATAAACTGTATGACTTGCTCTACACTAAAAACTTCCATCACAGAATTCAAGCATTAAAATGATTATGAGCAAAAAGTAAGTCACCTAGACATACAACCTAATTGCATACATCCAAAGCATCACAAAGTTAAAACTGGGCAGGTAAGTTGAACATTTCCACTTTCTCCACTGAAAAGTAGAAAAAATAATGGAACACACCTTTTCCATCACGAAGTCGGCGTTTTATTAGACGTCCATCCCCAAGCATGTCTCGTACCTACCAATTCAAAACTTGAGAGTTACATCACAGTCTCATGAATATGGCAATTAAAACAATACACAGTTATGAAAAAGTGCGAGTAATTTGCTGACAAATGCATAGTGTGAATAAACTGATATTAGTCTTGAGTACTCATGGAACATAAAACTTTCTTGATTTTCAGTTCTCTCTTTCACAAAGGTGCGAGAGCTGCTGGTATTGTGGACAATTTACCTATTTCTCCAGCAAATATAGCAAAAGTGTAGTTTGTGTTCATTCAGCATCACAATCACCTAATTAAATTGTATGAATCTTTAAATCTATTAAGGTTGGTTTGGGAGCTTGGCCATATAAGCCATAACAACAAGCACCTAGTCTACAACCATCAACCATACCAACCAGCTTTACAAAATAGTGCAACAATAATGTCTAGCGGTGAACTTAACAATACTGGATTAGAGTTAACAATATTTGATGAATAGGATGGAGAATTAAACAAGGAAAAACAGAAAAGGGAAAGACAGTTGAAAAAATGCATTATGACTTTAACCAGACAGGTAAGCATAATATATGGCATATAAATTAGGATTTTCCAATTCCAAGTAAATTTAAAGTCCACTCTTAAAAAGGTCATGATTTAAATCGACACAGTTACGCAAGTATTATAATTTGTACCAGTATAGAAGTTGGCAGAGAAATAGAAATTAGAAAACCATTACTTTGGACACGTCCGCATACCTGAATGAAATGGACAAGCTCCACTTCAAAATGAATTTCCTCATAACCATCTACCACAGGCAGGAGGGGAGATTGAGTTAAGTACTGACTTGTAACATATATTACTGCCTTCTCTTCACGCGTCATTGTTCCTATTCCCATCTCAAGACCTTTAGGTACCTAAATTCATATAACTCACCATATTAAGCAGCAATGTGTCATGCTTACATTAAACCCAGCTGAAAATATATTTCCATCAGTTGAGAATTTTAACACTAAATAGGCTTTCAAGCTCAACAGTATGATAGGAAAAAAAAATGGGTTCCAAAAGTTATTTACTTAAAATGGTAACTTGCAGTGAAGAAACATAATTATAGATGAGAAATGCTAACCAACCTCTGATCTTCCAAAAGTAAAGAAATATGGTTCTCCTTCTGTGTGAGAGAAAATCAATTTCCCATCGCCTGTCTTTGCAGAAATCCTGAAAAGGAAATAGTACTTATCTTAAGGAAACTTCACACACTCAACATACAAATGCAAAAGAAGAGGTACAGAGGATCAAGAATAAGTTTCTACCAAGCTTTTACTTCATAAGGTTGCCTCGGTGACTCCCATCCCTGCCCTTCATTTATCACCTATACAAAGAAATTAAATTAATTGTGAACTGCTTTTAAATCTAAAACAGACAGAAAATTGCTGCACAATTCTGTGAGGCAGCTGCCTTTATCCAGAATAGCAGAATTATAACTATGTGAGATCCTTTCTGATGAACTAATCAGAAATTTTATCATTTCAAAGCACTTAAAACTCCATGAATTGTACTCAAAATGTAATCTATTACACCAGCTACTCACATATTGCCCTCTACATTAATAAATTATGCAACTTAAATATTGTACCTTCTTTAAGACTCCCAAATCATCAGCAACGACCTGAAATCAGTACAAGCAATATTCAGCATTAGAAGAAAAGAGAAGTGAAAAGTGAACCTTAGCTAATGACACCTAATGCAGATCCTTTCATTTTAATCCTAAACTTTTTCAAGCAAATATCCATATAGTAATTACAGTATTCTGCATGCCAAATAAATGCCTTTTGTACACAAAGATATTCAATAAGTTCCAAGGAACAGTAACATGGAAATGACCGTATGGCTCAACTGTGTCATGCTGTTATATTGATAGAAATATCATAATTCAAACATTCTTGCCTTGGCTTTAGAAAAATCTATCATCTCAATCTCAAAATGAAGTTCTTCATCCTTTGGGAAGCTACCCGGAACTGCCATAGGGCAATCATCCTCACCATAGTGCATTTCAGATTTCATCTTAAACTGAAACAAACCAAACAAAAAGATCTTACATTTAGATAGTGCACAAACATTATTTAGCATTATTCTTCCACTATTAATAGGTTTATCCAGGAAGGTCCCTTTTTTCCTTTTTTCTCTTCTGAAATATAATTTTATAGACACAAAGTGCTTCATTAAAAAATATAGCTGACAACTAAAGATATAGCAATTAGTCATAGCAAATTTACAGTCCTGTACTTAATGTACCTCTCCTTGAATTTTTTTCTTTTCCTATTTGTCAAACAAATGCTCACAAACGCAATGCCAATTTTAGGATAGTAAAATACAATACCATTGACACTTCACCCTTCAACATTGTGGGAATTCCTTCAAGCAACCCCAGTATCATCTTGCTTTTGCCCAAAACAAGTCTTCTAGGGATACCCTTGCCTGTCATGGAAACAAATGTTTATTAAACCCAGTTACCCATATTCCAAGACGAAATGTTACATAAAAATTATCCGCTTTCTGGCCTCCTTTTCAGATTCGGCATTCCCCCTATCATCCAAATAGACCTAATATTATAGAATTTCTTCAAAAAAAAATTTAGTACACTTATAACAAGATAAAAGCAAGAACTAACTTCAGTTAAAAGCAAGAATAGGGATTTGATAGTGTTCACCTCCATTTTCCAATCTTGTCGACTCAACAATTACTCCATCTAGAGTTCGAACTGTGCAATGATATATAACCTGTAAATTATAACACATAAATAAGACTCAGTATTGAATTCTCCATGTAATTCTTATACAACAAAATCAAAGAGAGTAAACCACTATTCCAACAACAAGAATGATGACTAATTGCAATATCTCAAGGGATTCATTTCCTTGCATTCAACCAATTACGATGTCTTATGAGCAAAGAAATAAGAATGTGAACTATAATTTACCAAAAATAGAGCATTATTTAGAAGGGGGGAAAAAACAATTAAAAGGACCTGATCACCCTCAGACGGTGTTGAATCACCTCCACCAGGCCTTATCACAGCTTTCATCAAACTCCCGGGCACAATTTTCTTTCTCCTATTTATTAAGAATTACACTAATTATTAGAATACCAATAATCAACAAATATTTCATAGAATTATAAAGAAAATACCTTTTCTCATCCTCAGAAGGAGCCTTGTTCTTCTTCTGTGATACATCAGTGTCATCGTCTAATGCCATCTTCGATTATCTCAAATCGATGCACAGTTCAGAGTCAACTGAGAACTCACAGTAATAACAAGAATTTAATTCTACTGAGGCTTGAGCTGAAAAAAAACCCTAGTTAGAATTAAACATATACTGAAATGTGCCTAAGATCACTACTCATGACAATGTTATTTTAAACGTGTAAAAATCATGTTCCAAATTTTTCTAGTTAGGTTCGTTTTAGTTAGCTCAACAACCTAACAAATGAAATTCTGGCCAAGAGGACATGAGAATTACCTGAAATTCGGAGGTTGAAGACGAATCGCTACTGATTGACTCAAAGCAGTTGACTTTCTAGCTAATCAGACCGTTAATCTTTTTGAATCGTTTACGACCGTTGATGTGACCTACAACTTTATTGAGTTACTGGGTCCATCCATCGGGTTTTGGCGCCATACAATATAACAATAAGCATAGGCCGGCTGGGCCGCTGGGCTGGCAGCTTCTATTGTATTGTATCTCTGAAATTCGATTAATTCTAATTCTAATATTCAATTTCTAATTTTTTTAATATTTTTTTAAAATCATCAAGAAGTTTCTTGTGTTTTATTAAATTATTTAAAGCTCACGTATTAAAAGTTACAGAAACAATACGTTCCTGTCAATATGGTTTTGCCTAAACCATATAATAACTTGGGAAACCAAAATTCTATGTTGAAACTGTCAATCGGTGGAGTGCATATCCTCGTAACTTATTTATTAGACAAAAATGTTTCAATAAGTGAAGTTAAAAAAAGTAGAGTTCGAAATGTTCACACCACCGGTTGAGTCTCAAATTCTTGCAGCCTACTTGATGGCGGCATTAAATAAAAGCAATAATGAAGTCCTTCACCAATTATACAACAATTGCGTTAAGCATAGCCTCCAAAACGACAGGCAGTTGGGTCAGTTGGTTGAGCAACCGTTGAATTTGTAGTCCGTTTCTTGGCCATTGACATCGTGTATGCTACAGAACAAACTTGGGATAATTTACAAACACGTAATACAAAAACTCTTAAATAATGCATGTGACACCGAGCGAGGGCACTAATGAGACAAATTGATTAACGTTTGGTCCAGAAAGTATTTTGGGTACAAGCAGTCAATTGAATTTTAAAATTGTAATAGTAATTCAGCAGTGTTGGGAGAGACCCCATGTGAATGTGCGTGGATGTGTGACAAGCTACCCACTTTCGAAAGCTGGAAGTCCAATTGCCGACTCAAGACTTAAAAAAACTACCATGCTAAAAATGCTTGATACCTAACGCTCAGTGAATAATATATCCGTACAGATTTAGACGTCGGCAATCCGCAGGATTGTGCGGAAATTAGTGTGAACATTGATGAGTCAAAACTGCTCTCATGTGCATATAAAATACAAGCCATTTGTTTTGAATTACATAATCCGTACAATGGTTCAGCAGAAAATTGAGAAAGGAGTGGGCGGCACGACGTAGAGAGCAAATAGGTGGTGGGGTTTTTAAATAAGGCGAGGCGTAATGGATGCAGGAATGCAGGAGGAAGAGGTAAAAACAGCACACACAATTGACACAAACTGCGCAACATGTAACCCATATTTAATGGTTAGGATATTGAAATAAATACATTTTTTAGGTTTTTAAGATATAGCAATAAAATAAGATAGAGATATAATAGTGAAACAAAACTCCCGATATTCCCTAAGTGCAATAAAGGACCACAAACGGGAGAGTGGTGCGTACTGCATAGCGTGTGGGTTCACGGAACAAAGGCTGGTTGGGCGGGGAGTGGGGACGTGGTCAACCACCATGAACCCACGTTTGCCGGCAGCTATGTGTGGGTGGCTATGCAATGTTAGGCCACGGTGATAGCAACCGCTATTTTTATGATAAATAGACGAGGAGTTCCAAAGAATTATTGAATTGAATAAAAGATGTAAGCCCTTTAATAAAGAGATAAAGAGATATGACGACACGTGTAAAGAGCAAAGATCTTTTATATACTCAACAACAGCTCATTTAAGGGCCCTACCGGCTACCCTTGCCCTATCTATATCACAAATGCTTCCTTCTCAAGAAAGCAAAATTAACATCAAAAATGACAAGCCGACTAAACTAAAGTACACTAGAGCAACTTGAGAGATCAAACTTTAAGGGAAGTTTGTTTCAATATTCTTGCGTTATCTTATTACTCCCTCTCCAAAATATACATTTATTTCCCTATTTTAAAAATATTATCATATTTTATTTAATTATTTTTTAAATCTTTTAAATTTATTAATTTAACTAAATAACTTTAAAAATATTTTAAAAATTAATAAGAACACTCCCTATACTCATATTTACCACATTCTAACCACCATCACACACACTATCAACTAAAACTAACTGATAATAATCGAATCCACCGTAAATCTAACAATAAATACATCTGATAGTTGACAACAATCAAAAGATGTTGATGTATCTTTGGCCGTCATCTATAAGTTCTCAATGACCGAAATCAGACAACTATAAGTGGATAATATTTTTATCATTTTATAAAACTTTTATATATTGAAGTACTTAAATTAACAAACCTAAAATAAAAATTTATTAACTTTTACCTTATAATAATCACCGAACTCTGTCCTACCAATGATATTTTGAAAAATATTAGATTAGTTAGTACAAAGTTACAGACCCAGAAACCGCAAATCCAGCTGCTGCTGGATCTCGGGTAAAGCTAAAGTCCTTTCTATTCAATTTAAATCTTCGAAGCAGTTAAATAAATATTAAAAAAGCGAGTGATAAGGAGAAGGGTAAAATAGGAAAATGAATTATGTTTTATTATATTATTATTAGTTGAAGGCCATTGAGTGGGTGGACAGGTTGGAAGGGGGAATTTGTAAACACACCAAGTATTGTATGACAATACTGACAACAATAATGCATGGCATAAGTAAACATCCCTGGCGAAAAAACATTGTATCCAAAGCCATGTACTCTTTTCATTAAGAGCTGGTACTATTTCTCTTTTTTCCCTTGGCTTCCCCAAAACATTCACTTGTGCCCCAAATTACAAAAAAGAAACAGAAAATTCCATCCACATCCACCAGGACCACCACCGTAGCCAAACAAAATTTAACAAAAACTGCCCCTGCTAACTGCATTCACTTTTCTAACAGTAGGAATTTTTATTTTTCCCTAATTCTATCCCCTAAAAAACCATTTCATATCTGCTTCCTTCTTCTTCATCATCATCCACATTTTTCTTTTAAACTTCCTCCTCCTTAAAACTATTATTATCTATATTCTAATACTACTTTTCCTATAGCAAACTATCAGCCTCCCTTGTTTTTATTTTTTCATACCCTTCTAACCTTGAAATTTTCTTTTCCTTTCCTAAAAAACTCCCAGAAGAACAACACAAATTATGAAAGACCAAAGGGGACCACGTTCATAAGTCCACTCCTGCGGCAACCGGATCTCATGGTTCATTCCTTGCTGCTGCCTGAGATTGCGCTTCTGAACCATTTCGATACCCCAAAGTAGCATCTGCAAATTCAAAATAAATACCCAAAACAATCATAACTAACGGACATAAAAATAATACCACACTATCAGATGAGATTGGGAAGAGCAATATTACCAGTATCCGGTGCATAACTTCCGAAACAGGCTGAAACGGCGCACCCATTTCGTCGAAGTTCAGATTCAAGGCCTGCACCACTTTAGCGGGAAGTAACACCGTGGAACAAGCTGTTAAAGAGAAACAAACAAATACCATCAATTCTCTCAAAACGACAAAAAATCAACTAATAAACCGATTTAAACTTATTAAAAAAATGGTATAAATCACGACCAATCTGCGAACAAAACGAGTAACTAATTTGGTATAATCTTCCCTGTACCTGGCTTCTTGCGGTCTCAGTAGGCGTGTTGACGCGACGAGGCAAGAAACACCGGTACCAGCACATTCTTTTTTACCACTCGGACTCCAAGAAACACAGCCCGCATACCCGACCCGTTTTGTTGTTGCTGTTGTTGCTGCTGTGCTTGTTGCAGAGGAGGCCATGCAGATGCGACAACCCAAGGGGCCGAGTTGTGTTTCTACTTTGGACTCGTTTGAGACCAACTTGATATAGTCCAGTGGTTGCCTTGGCCTGTGACTGTGGTCCTACCCAAACTGACGAACCTTGTGCTGCTTCATCATTTGTTTGTTGCTTCAGATGCTGAAACTGTAACATTAAAGCAGAAAGAATGAAACAAAAGACAAAGATGTAAAGCTGAGTAACAAACAATTACGACTTTGTTTTGAACTTACTTGAGAAGCTTGTAACTTCTGGTGAGAAAGGACTGTTGGTGGTGGTGCTGGTGGTGCTGGTGCTGGTGCTGAGCGTTGTAGAAACCAACATCAAAAAGGTTCGCGTGGTTCTTTACAGGGACAGAGACTGGAGATGGTTTTCTGGGTGGACCCAATAGCCCCCTGTTGTGATTATAGCAACCGTTATTCTTGGTTCATTCTGATTCTTTCAACTTCCCCTGCAGCCGCGTACAGCAGATCCCAAGTTCCCGGCGGTGAAGAAACCCGTGACTGACAGTTAGGACTTCCACGGCTCGAGCCCTGCCTACAGCCGCACCCACTCCCAACCGCGCATAGCGTCGATTGAGGCGAACCGGACACAAACCGACCCTGTAAAAACAACCGATGTGTTAAAAAATTCTCATGAAAATCTAACTGTTGAATAAAATTCAAAAACAGACGGTATTAAAGAGGTACCTTAGTTTTGTGGTTTCCAGCGAAATCTTCCTCAAGAGTAGAGTGAGCCATTTGGCGAGTCAACCCAGCGATGAAATCTTCTTCGTCACTCTCGGTCTCGGTTGACCCCATCACCGACTCAACAGGAGAACTGAGATCCGAGGAAGAGTGTCCAAAAAACCAAAACCATACGAAAACTCAAACGGAAACAAAGGTTTGGTAGCTTCAGCTTCAGAGTCAAACGCGTCTTTCTTGTTGTTGCTCTTACTCATGTCCATGAGTATGTCGTCGTCATAAGGAACTGAGAGGAAGCCAAAACTCACCGTCGTCTAAACTCTCCGCCATGTCAAAAAGCCCTCAAGATATCAAGGAGTAAAAGGTAAGAAGAGGTTTTTGAAGAGGCGAGTATGGGCTTTCGCTGCTAGGTCAAGTTTTATAATAATCAGGCTAGTCTCGTTTGCTGTATTGTGCACAGCCAAAGCCCCCAAGCCAACGCAAAGAAAGAGATATGAAATGAAGAAGTGTGCTTGTGTGTGTGTTCAATCAAACCCTTTTAAAGCTGTCACAGAGAGTGAGCAAATTTTTCTATTGTAGTGTAGAAAAGCAGAGGCGGGGAGAGAAACGTGGACAACTCTGTATTTGTAGACGAATTAAAGAGAAGAGAACACCAAAAACCACTGTATGAAGGAATGTGAGAAACCCGCGCCAGAGGATACAGATGGACGGTGAGATTAAGAATGTGTCAGATGTGGGGGCCATGCAAGTTGCAGCCAGGTAAGAATTTAGATAGAAATGGAACCATCAAGCACTTGGCAACATGTGAGAGAGCCAGGAAGGAATTTTTGAAACTTTTTAAAAATAAATAATTTTTTTTTTTTAAGTTTGAAGATTTGTAATTGTGAGTGAGTGGGATGGTTGTGATTGTGAAGAGGTGAGGGGTGGCTTAGTGGTTAAACAAATCTAAAACGACGTGGGGGATGTGAATTGGATCTTCCTTTTATTTCATTCGTTGATTAGCGTAACAGACGGACATTGCCCTTCCTTCATGTCCACTTGGCGCCCCAGGGACACTATGCTTTGCATGTAAGTTTTTTTTAATTTCTTCTTTTTGAGTATTTATTACCAACCCCTTTACATTAATTAATTAAATAAATATCACTTAAACTTTTTGGAGTTTAAAACTGTGGATGCAAACTCTAATAGCAGGCTTATATAATGTGTTATACAATCCTTCTAGATTAAGATTCCTATAAATCTTTTATAGATTTCTTTTTATGATAAAACAAGTTAATAAAGGGTGTTTATCTAAGCTTATAAATTGGTCAAACTAATTTATAAACTCTAAAATTAAATTGAAACTAGTTTATAAGCTCAAAATTAATGTTGATCTATTATTTATAACTTTTTGGAGCTTACAAGCCAAAGAAAATAAATTGGGAGAGAGATATTTTTTTCTTTTTGCTTATAAGCACTCTACTTATAAGCTAGTTTGACCAAATATATTACCATATTATCCTTGTTTAATTTTAAAATTTTAATAGTAATACCATTGTTTAATATAATATCATTTTAATGTTTATAATAAAATGTACTTATGAGCCACATTTTACTAACACGTCAACTACTTTCAGTTACTTATAAGTACTTAACCAAACACGAATTGTTTAAATTTTCAAATGCTTATAGTACTTGTTACTTATAGCTAATTTCATAAGCTCAGACAAACACCCCCTAAATCATAATTGAGAAAATAATAATAGACAGCATTTTGTGTATGATTTAATGTGGCATGTAATGAATGATTAATAAATCATAGTGAATAAGGATGAATGATCAGTATCTAACGTATAACTATGTAATTTAAGTTTGGTATGGAGCATTCTTAATTAAATAAGATAAATAATATCAATTTTTTTTTTTTTTAGTATCTGAGAGTGTCAAAATCAGTTTACGTTATATTTTAACTATTTCTTTGAGGTCCTCATTATATATAGTAATTGTGCGATTCGAACTCAAAATCTTTTGAATAATCACACAAAAATCTGAAACGAACTGTCAAACTATCCAAAGATAATTAAATATATCAATTTAGGTAGACAAAATCATAGATTTGAAACTACATAGATCATACAAATTTAATTTATTTATTTTAAAAAATGAAATCTGATTTTACATGTATCGATATTGACCAAGACCAAGTTCACGCTCCTAACAGTAATAAAGTTGAAGAGGAAACCACATTGTCCCACCCAAGGTTTGGCCAATTTTCGTTCCCACCCTTAGTTTCATAAATTGCAATTTCCACCCTTAAATTAACACGGTTGCTTTTCTCTCAAAATAATCCCTACATCTCAAATTTCTCTCAAATGCCCTAGAGGATCTTGGCCAAGCCAATAATCCTGCCTGATTCCGGCACCATTGGACCTCCTTGACACCACCATCACATTCTCTTATCCTCCTTACCAAACCCTAACTTTTCCACCTAAGTACACCTCAACAAGGTGCCTGAATTTTGTTGGAAATTGGCCAAAAATGCAAAACCTAAGGGAGAGTGGGTCGAAATTTGGATGAAATGCTGATTGACACTAAAAGCGCCGGTTTGATTGGAGGGTTCCATCAGGTGAGGAGGCTAGGGGTTTTAATGTGGGGGTTGAGGGGATTGTAATGTGATGTCACAGGATCAATTGTGCTAGAATAGGCTTGAATGGCTTAAATCGCTAGTGGTGAATCTGAGAAGCGAAAGGTTATTTTGAAATGATCATTTTACCTTTTAACTGTTAGACAAATAATTATCTGTTAATTAAAGGTGGGAGTCTGCAATTTATGAAACCAGGGTGGGAACTGTAAGATCGCCAAACCTTGGGTGGGGCAATGTGATAACTGCAAAGTTGAAATGCCAAAGCAAACAGACCAGACTTGTTCTCCATGAATGCTGTGTGTGCACCCAGAAAGCCAAATAGGGTAAGAGGTGGGCCCGCAGGAGGACATTTAAACATTCCATTTTCAGCTAAAGCGAAAGCTGAGAAACCAAATCAGCTTTGGATCAGAAAATCTTTTTTACAGCCTAAGGAGTAAGGACACTTGTGGGGACACCTACATGTTTAGACTGTGTTACAACATGCATTTATCCAGTCAATATCTTACCCCCAATTCAATTTTTAATTTTGAATCTCACAATTAGTTTTTAGATTGAATGTATAGAAGACAATTAGACATTTGTGGAAATAATTAAGGGTGCATTTGGCTCCCTATTTTTATCTATATTCTCAATCCTATTCTTCAAATATTGTTTAACACATTATTTCAGAAATATTAATATATTTTTTAATTATTTTTAGACCCCTTAAATTTATTAATTTCATAATACCCCCAAAAAAAAGTTTAAAAATTAACTAAAATACCCCTATCAACCCATACTTGGCAGATTTCGACAACCACCGTCGATGGTAGCTAGAATCTGTACAACGACCTACACCACGACCAGAATTAGTCGGTAGTTCACCGATCTGGCCGTCAGCGATGGCCAAAGAAATGACCATCGTTGACCGAAAACAACGGCCATATCTTTGGTCGTGACTTCTTTGACCTTTTTTGGCTGTCGACGGCCACATATGGCTGTAGATCTAGCCGGAAAAGGCCATATCGATGCGTTACGACACATATCCGACTAGTCTGTGTCGTAACGCAATTTTCCAGCCAGATTCTGACGGTGGTGGCCGGAATCTGGCATTGCGAGTGGTGGGGGTGTTTTTGTCATTTTATATGTTGGGTGTTTAATTAAATTAACAAACCTATGAGTTTTTTTATAAATTTTTAAATTTTACCTTGTAATACTCCCTTATTCAACTACCTAAAATAATAAACCAAACACACCCTAAATTTTCTCTAAATTTTAATAAGATTTTTTTTTATAACTTAGGGTGTTCTGACAAGTTTATATGCACCTCAACAAATCCATTGGGACCTTAAAATTATCGATCGAATAAAAGCTCAGTGGCCACCTTTATTAACAACTGAAAAAAGATTCAAATTTATAATCTTTTGAATAACATACTTAATATTTCATATCGAACTACTCAATCACCCATAACTCCAGAAGTGGTTAGTAAGATTTTCTTATATGGTCAAATTTCACCCATTGCTTTTAGTGTATTTAGTATACTTGGACAATTTGGTCAAAAGTCGTGCGTCATGACTATTTTTCCTCTAGTGGTCAATATATATATATATATATATATATATTTTTATCACAAAACTCACATGCATTTCTTAGATAGTTCATGAGCTTACTAGTGTTTATTTCTTTAACTCCATCATGCAATGAAAGACCAACGATAATTCACATAAAAGGAGCCTGGTTATTATTATTATTATTATTTTAATGGCAATATTTTCATTATAATTAATATTTAAATCATCATTCTTAAATGAATAAAAAGTCAATTAACATAATCAATCATGCGCTGTATGTTTCCACCAAATATTATCTCATGCAACAAAAATAAGAGGCTGAAGGCTTTTAACATACAAAGTTTACCTTAAGCTGTTATTTAATACATAATACGACGACGTAATTGTGTTTGTTAATGTTTTGTAGAATAATGAAAAAGTAAGGAGCGAAAGAGTGTGAGTAGGGATGACGTGGCCGCAGTTCATAGTTTACGATTCGGCAGCTTAACTGTCTGTCTGTCTGACGTTTGGTCAAAACTCGTTGCTTACCGTTTGTTTTAACGGCCGTCGTTTTCTTTACACATCATTACGGCGTGCCCTTTTCCACTATCCGCCGGCGTTGGACGGCGCCACTCTCTCGTGGACGCGACATCTATCGTAAACTCTATTTAACTAAATATTATAGGCACAAAAAAGAAAATTAAACAATTCCTTTTTAAAAACAAAAAAGCAGAGTACGTGGTAGGGACGTGCTTACCTGCGGAAAGGGACAGGATAAGGACTTCTCAGGTCCGTACACCTCATATTGATAAAAATAAATAACTTCCAGTACTCGCATTCTGAGCCGTAGAAATCATGTGATGATCTGATAGTGCGTCTCACCACCCTGATATGCGCGTGATACTGTGGATATCACGTGGGACGGCGTGCGGAGCATGAACTTTTTCTGTTCTAATATAAGCAAAAATTAAAAAGAAAATCAAACTTTTAATCCTTTTGTATAAAACTATAAAAGCCCAAATGGTTGCTTCGAATTTTCGCTAAGTAATTTTAAAACTTTCCCGCCGAAAGAGGGGAAAATAAGACGTCGTTTTCATATATTTGAGTAGACCAATAAAATGTGACACGTCCCTAATTTTTTGTTATTATTCAGGGATTAAAATGAATGGCCACAGCCCACAAGTTGTGTCATTGAGATTTGCCACGTCTTATAAGCTAGTTTGACCAAATATATTACCATATTATCCTTGTTTAATTTTAAAATTTTATAGTATACCATTGTTTAATATAATATCATTTTTAATGTTTATAATAAAATGTACTTATGAGCCACATTTTACTAACACGTCAACTACTTTCAGTTACTTATAAGTACTTTCAACCAAACACGTAATTGTTTAAATTTTCAAATGCTTATAGTACTTGTTACTTATAGCTAATTTTCATAAGCTCAGACAAACCCCCCTAAATCATAATTGAGAAATATAATAGACAGCATTTTGTGTATGATTTAATGTGGCATGTAATGAATGATTAATAAATCATAGTGAATAGGATAATGATCAGTATCTAACGTATAACTATGTATTTAAGTTTGGTATGGAGCATTCTTATTAAATAAGATAAATAATAATCAATTTTTTTTTTTTTTAGTATCTGAGAGTGTCAAAATCAGTTTACTTATATTTTAACTATTTCTTTGAGGTCCTCATTATATAATAGTAATTGTGGCGATTCGAACTCAAAATCTTTGAATAATCACACAAAAATCTAAAACGAACTGTCAAACTATCCAAAGATAATTAAATATATCAATTTAGGTAGACAAACATAGATTTGAAACTACATAGATCATACAAATTTAATTTATTTATTTTAAAAAATGAAATCTGATTTTACATGTATCGATGTATGACCAAGACCAAGTTCACGCTCCTAACAGTAATAAAGTTGAAGAGAAACCACATTGTCCCACCCAAGGTTTGGCCAATTTTCGTTCCCACCCTTAGTTTCATAAATTGCAATTTCCACCCTTAAATTAACACGTGCTTTTCTCTCAAAATAATCCCTACATCTCAAATTTCTCTCAAATGCCCTAGAGGATCTGGCCAAGCCAATAATCCTGCCGATTCCGGCACCATTGGACCTCCTTGACACCACCATCACATTCTCTTATCCTCCTTACCAAAACCCTAACTTTTCCACCTAAGTACACCTCAACAAGGTGCCTGAATTTTGTTGGAAATTGGCCAAAAAATGCAAAACCTAAGGGAGAGTGGGTCGAAATTTGGATGAAATGCTGATTGACACTAAAAGCGACCGGTTATGATTGGAGGGTTCCATCAGGTGAGGAGGTAGGGGTTTTAATGTGGGGGTTGAGGGGATTGTAATGTGATGTCACAGGATCAATTGTGCTAGAATAGGCTTGAATGCTTAAATCGCTAGTGTGTGAATCTGAGAAGCGAAAGGTTATTTTGAAATGATCATTTTACCTTTTAACTGTTAGACAAATAATTATCTGTTATTTAAAGGTGGGAGTCTGCAATTTATAAACCAGGGTGGGAACTGTAGATCGCCAAACCTTGGGTGGGGCAATGTGGAAACTTATTAAAAAAATGGTAATAAATCAACGACCAGATCTGCGAACAAAACGAGTAACTAATTTGGTAATAAATCTTCCCTGTACCTGGCTTCTTGCGGGTCTCAGTAGGCGTGTTGACGCGACGAGGCAAGAAAACACCGGTACCAGCACATTCTTTTTTACCACTCGGAGCTCCAAGAAACACAGCCCGCATACCCGACCCGTTTTGTTGTTGCTGTTGTTGCTGCTGTGCTTGTTGCAGAGGAGGCCATGCAGATTGCGACAAACCAAGGGGCCGAGTTGTGTTTCTACTTTGGACTCGGTTGAGACCAACTTGATATAGTCCAGTGGTTGCCTTGGCCTGTGACTGTGGTCCTACCCAAACTGACGAACCTTGTTGCTGCTTCATCATTTGTTGTTGCTTCAGATGCTGAAACTGTAACATTAAAGCAGAAAGAATGAAACAAAAGACAAAGATGTAAAGCTGGAGTAACAAACAATTACGACTTTGTTTTGAACTTACTTGAGAAGCTTGTAACTTCTGGTGAGAAAGCGACTGTTGGTGGTGGTGCTGCTGCTGGTGCTGGTGCTGGTGCTGGTGTTGAGCGTTGTAGAAACCAACATCAAAAAGGTTCGCGTGGTTCTTTACAGGGACAGAGACTGGAGATGGTTTTCTGGGTGGACCCAATAGTCCCCTGTTGTGATTATAGCAACCGTATGATTCTTGGTTCATTCTGATTCTTTCAACTTCCCCTGCAGCCGCGTACAGCAGATCCCAAGTTCCCGGCGGTGAAGAAACCCGTGACTGACAGTTAGGACTTCCACGGCTCGAGCCCTGCCTACAGCCGCACCCACTCCCAACCGCGCATAGCGTCGATTGAGGCGAACCGGATACAAACCGACCCTGTAAAAACAACCGATGCGTTAAAAAAATTTCTCAAGTGAAAATCTAACTGTTGAATAAAATTACAAAAACAGACAAGAGTATTAAAGACGGGTACCTTAGTTTTGTGGTTTCCAGCGAAATCTTCCTCAAGAGTAGAGTGAGCCATTTGGCGAGTCAACCCAGCGATGAAATCTTCTTCGTCACTCTCGGTCTCGGTTGACCCCATCACCGACTCAACAGGAGAACTGAGATCCGAGGAAGAGTGTCCAAAAGAACCAAAACCATACGAAAACTCAAACGGAAACAAAGGTTTGGTAGCTTCAGCTTCAGAGTCAAACGCGTCTTTCTTGTTGTTGCTCTTACTCATGTCCATGAGTATGTCGTCGTCAGTAAGGAACTGAGGAGGAAGCCAAAACTCACCGTCGTCTAAACTCTCCGCCATGTCAAAAAGCCCTCAAGATATCAAGGAGTAAAAAGGTAAGAAGAGGGTTTTTGAAGAGGCGAGTAATGGGCTTTCGCTGCTAGGTCAAGTTTTAATAATAATCAGGCTAGTCTCGTTTGCTGTATATGTGCACAGCCAAAGGGCCCCCAAGCCAACGCAAAGAAAGAGATATGAAATGAAGAAGTGTGCTTGTGTGTGTGTTCAATCAAACCCTTTTAAAGCTGTCACAGAGAGTGAGCAAATTTTTCTAATTGTAGTTGTAGAAAAGCAGAAGAAAAGCAGAGGGGAGAGAAACGCTGGACAACTCCGTATTTGTAGACGAATTAAAAGAGAAGAGAAACACCAAAAACCACTGGTATGAAAGGAATGTGAGAAACACGCGCCAGAGGATACAAGTGGACGGTGGAGATTAAGAATGTGTCAGATGTGGGGGCCATGCAGAGTTGCAGCCAGGTAAGACATTTAGATAGAAGAAAATGGAACCATCAAGCACTTGGCAAGCATGTGAGAGAGCCAGGAAGGAATTTTTGAAACTTTTTAAAAAATAAATAATTTTTTTTTTTTTTTTTAAGTTTGAAGATTTGTAATTGTGAGTGAGTGGGATGGTTGTGATTGTGAAGAGGTGGAGGTGGTGGCTTAGTGGTTAAACAAATCTAAAACGACGTGGGGGATGTGAATTGGATCTTCCTTTTATTTCATTCGTTGATTAGCGTAACAGACGGACATTTGCCCTTCCTTCATGTCCACTTGGCGCCCCAGGGACACTATGCTTTGCATGTAAGTTATTATTTAATTTCTTTCTTTTTGAATTATTTTTACCAAACCCCTCTTATCAATTAATTAATTAAATAAATATCACTTAAAACTTTTTGGAGTTCGTAAAACTGTGGATGCAAACTCTAATAGCAGGCTTATATAATCGTAGTTATACAATCCTTCTAGATTAAGATACCTATAAATCTTTTATAGATTTCTTTTTATGATAAAAACAAGTTAATAAAAGGGTGTTTATCTAAGCTTATAAATTGGTCAAACTAATTTATAAACTCTAAAATTAAATTGAAACTAGTTTATAAGCTCTAAAATTAAATTGATCTATTTATTTATAACTTTTTTGAGCTTACAAGCCAAAGAAAATAAATTGGGAGAGAGATATTTTTTCTTTTTGCTTATAAGCACTCTACTTATAAGCTAGTTTGACCAAATATATTACCATATTATCCTTGTTTAATTTTAAAATTTTATAGTATACCATTGTTTAATATAATATCATTTTTAATTAGTTTATAATAAAATGTACTTATGAGCCACATTTTACTAAACACGTCAACTACTTATCAGTTACTTATAAGTACTTTAACCAAACACGTAATTGTTTAAATTTTCAAATGCTTATAAGTACTTGTTACTTATAAGCTAATTTTCATAAGCTCAGACAAACACCCCCTAAATCATAATTGAGAAAATAATAATAGACAAGCATTTTGTGTATGATTTAATGTGGCATGTAATGAATGAATTAACTAAATCTAATAGTGGATAAGGTTGAATAATCAGTATCTAATGTATAACTATGTAAATAAAGTTTGGCATGGAACATTCTTTAATTAAATAAGATGAAAGTATATCAATTTTTTCTTGTTTTTAGTATTCGAGGGTGTCTAGGTCAACTTACGTATATTTGGACCATTTTTTTGAAGTCCTTATTAGTAGATAGTAGTTGTGGGGATTCGAATTCAAAATCTTTTGAGTAATACACTAAAGAGTCTCAAATGAACCATCAAACTACCTGAAAATAGTTAAATATATCAATTTTAGGTATACTAAAACATAGATCTAAAACTACATAGATCATACAAATATTTAATTTATTTATTTTAAAAAATGAAATCTGATTTTACATGTATCGAGTATTGACCAAGACCAAGTTCACGCTCCTAACAGTAATAAAGTTGAAGAGTAAACCACATTGTCCCACCCAAGGTTTGGCCAATTTTCGTTCCCACCCTTAGTTTCATAAATTGCAATTTCCACCCTTAAATTAACACGGTTGCTTTTCTCTCAAAATAATCCCTACATCTCAAATTTCTCTCAAATGCCCTAGAGGATCTTGGCCAAGCCAATAATCCTGCCTGATTCCGGCACCATTGGACCTCCTTGACACCACCATCAGCATTCTCTTATCCTCCTTACCAAAACCCTAACTTTTCCACCTAAGTACACCTCAACAAGGTGCCTGAATTTTGTTGGAAATTGGCCAAAAAATGCAAAAACCTAAGGGAGAGGTGGGTCGAAATTTGGATGAAATGCTGATTGACACTAAAAGCGACGGTTGATGATTGGAGGGTTCCATCAGGTGAGGAGGCTAGGGGTTTTAATGTGGGGGTTGAGGGGATTGTAATGGTGATGTCAGCAGGGATCAATTGTGCTAGAAATAGGCTTGAATGGCCTGAAATCGCTAGTGGGGTGAATCTGAGAAGCGAAAGGTTATTTTGAAATGATCATTTTACTCTTTTAACTGTTAGACTAAATAATTATCTGTTAATTTAAAGGTGGGAGTCTGCAATTTATGAAACCAAGGGTGGGAACTGTAGATTCGCCAAACCTTGGGTGGGGCAATGTGATAACTGCAAAGTTGAAATGCCAAAGCAAACAGACCAGACTTGTTCTCCATGAATGCTGTGTGTGCACCCAGAAAGCCAAATAGGGTAAGAGGTGGGCCCGCAGGAGGACATTTAAACATTCCATTTTCAGCTAAAGCGAAAGCTGAGAAACCAAATCAGCTTTGGATCAGAAAATCTTTTTTACAGCCTAAGGAGTAAGGACACTTGTGGGGACACCTACATGTTTAGACTGTGTTACAACATGCATTTATCCAGTCAATATCTTACCCCCAATTCAATTTTTAATTTTGAATTTCACNATATAATGAATGAATTAACTAAATCTAATAGTGGATAAGGTTGAATAATCAGTATCTAATGTATAACTATGTAAATAAAGTTTGGCATGGAACATTCTTTAATTAAATAAGATGAAAGTATATCAATTTTTTCTTGTTTTTAGTATTCGAGGGTGTCTAGGTCAACTTACGTATATTTGGACCATTTTTTTGAAGTCCTTATTAGTAGATAGTAGTTGTGGGGATTCGAATTCAAAATCTTTTGAGTAATACACTAAAGAGTCTCAAATGAACCATCAAACTACCTGAAAATAGTTAAATATATCAATTTTAGGTATACTAAAACATAGATCTAAAACTACATAGATCATACAAATATTTAATTTATTTATTTTAAAAAATGAAATTTGATTTTACATGTATCGAGTATCGACCAAGACCAAGTTCACGCTCCTATAAGTAATAAAGTTGAAGAGTAAACCACATTTTCCCACCCAAGGTTTGGCGAATTTACATGCCCACCCTTGGTTTCATAAATTACAAATTTACACCCTTAAATTAAATTAACACTGTAGCTTTTCTCTCAAAATAATCTCTACATCTTAAATTTCTCTCAAATGCCCTAGAGGATCTCGGCCAAGCCAAGAATCCACCATTAGACCTCCTTAACACCACCATTAGCATCCCCTTATCCTCCTCACCAAAACCCTTAACTTTTCCACTCGAGTACACCTCGGCAAGGTGTCTGAATTCCGCTGGAAATGGAGGAAAAAACGCAAAAACCTAAGGGAGAGGTGGTGGCGATCGACAGACAATTGCATCGGCAATGTTGGGGGTTTGGGTTGGAGGAAGTCGACTATGCTATTGGTGGTCTTAGGGGTAGTTTTCGACGCCAAGACTTACCGGAATTTTGATGAAATGCTAATTGACACTAAAAGTGACGGCCGACGATTGGGGGGTTCAATCAGGTGGGGAGGTTAAGGGTTTTAATGTGGGGGTTGAGGGGATTGTAATGGTGGTGTCAAGAGGGGTCGATTATGCCATAAACATGCTGGAATGGCCTGAAATCGCTGGTGGGGTGAATTTGTGAAGTGAAGGGTTATTTTAAATTTTTCCAATGAGGTTAATTTGAGAAGTGAAGGGTTATTTTGAAATTTACATCTTTGAAATGGCTATTTTACCCTTTTAACGGTTAGATTAAATAATTATCTATTAATTTAAGGGTGTAAAGGTAGATTCGTCAAATCTTGGGTGGGAAAATGTCATTTGCTCTAAAGTTGAAATGCCAGACGTGTTCTCCATGAATGCTGTGTTTACACCCAGAAAGCTAAATAGGGTAAGAGGTAGGACCGCAGCAGGACATTTAAACATGCCATTTTCAGCTAAAGCGAAAGCCTCAGAAACCAAATCAGCTTTGGATCAGAAAATCTTTTTTACAGCCTAAGGAGTAAGGACACCTACATGACCGTGTTACTACATGCATTTATCCAGTCAATATCTTACCCCCAATTCAATTTTTAATTTTGAATTTCACCATTTGTTTTTAAATTGAATGTATAGAAGACAATTAGACATTTGTGGAAATAATTAAATTTTCTCCAAATTTTAATAAGATTTTTTCTTTTTATAACTTAGGGTGTTCGGACAAGTTTACGTACACCTCAATAAATATTTTAGGACCCTAAAATTATCGATCGAATAAGAACTCAGTAGCTCCCTCTATTAACAACTAAAAAAAGATTCTAATTTAGAATCTTTTGAATTACACACCTAATATTTCATATCGAACTATTTAATCACCCAAAACTAGTTAATAAGATTTTCTTATATGGTCAAGTTTCACCCATTGCTTTTATTCATAGTGTATTTACTATACTTGACAATTTGGTTAAAAGTCGTGCGTAATGACTGTTTTTCCTCTGGTGGTCAATATATATTTTTTATCACAAAACTTCCATGCATTTCTTGGATAGTTCATGAGCTTACTATTTTTTGTTTCTTTAACTCCATCATGCAATGAAAGACCAACGATAATTCACATAAAAGGAGCCTGGTTATTATTATTATTATTATTTTAATGGCAATATTTTCATTATAATTAATATTTAAATCATCATTCTTAAATGAATAAAAAGTCAATTAACATAATCAATCATGCGCTGTATGTTTCCACCAAATATTATCTCATGCAACAAAAATAAGAGATTGGAAGGCTTTTAACATACAAAGTTTACCTTATGCTGTTATTTAATACATAATACGACGACGTAATTGTGTTTGTTAATGTTTTGTAGAATAATGAAAAAGTAAGGAGCGAAAGAGTGTGAGTAGGGATGACGTGGCCGCAGTTCATAGTTTACGATTCGGCAGCTTAACTGTCTGTCTGTCTGACGTT